CTTACGTTTGATTTACCTGTCATTTTAATAGTGTGTTTTACTCTCTCTTCCCTCTTCTCTTTCCCATGTTTCCTTCCCCTTGTTCCCTGCCCCTCCCCCTTTCTTTGCCTGCCACCTGGATCTGCAGATGAAATTAGTGGGGACGGTAATATTTATTTTCACATTTGTGTTACTGATGTGGCATAATTATTATTTATTGATGTAAATACAGCTCAGTATTTAATGAAAGGCAAAATGTGGTTTTGGTCCAACAGAACAAGTACGAAATGGTATGGAAGAAACATCTCTTAAAATTATTTAGGCCTTTGACAGAAAAGAGGACTATCTGGTTCTTTATCTTATCTCAGTAGTAAATTTGCATGATATGTGTTCATAGTGAATTTTCTGGATTTCACTATTAGAACTTTATAGAGTTCTAGAAAAATTGTCAGCATGGTATCATGCAGGAAGATTGGTCATACCAGCAAGCAGTGGTAGAGACCCCGAGGTGTGCTCTCCAAGTGCAGTATGTATGATTATCCTTAGCTTTGGGGTGAGGGAGTAGAAAGGAAAGAATGCAAATTCATTTTTGAGAGTTACACAAGCAAGTAAAGTATTTGGAGAAATGTCCGCAGTAGCGATAGTGATTGTTTCAAACTGTTGAGGACAGCACTTAAATGAGAAGTTTAAAAACCACATTTCACGTCTTATGTTTCCCGTTCACTTTGTGCACTGCCTGCATGAAACCTCGTATCAAAGGAGTAAACCTTTATAAGCTAAAGTTAAGAGGGAGGTTGCCTTTTTCCCCGATTAGCTGAAAGGGTGCTTTTCCTGACCACTGCTTCCCTGTTCATGTCTGTGAGAAGATAGTGATACCTTGAGAGAAGTAAGCGAAGCAAGCGCGGTGGAAGACCCTAACTGAATACGGTTTGGAAAGGCGTGTGTTCTCTGGGGTTTGAGTCAGGAGAGTGGAAGTTCCTTTCTAGGCGGGCTGCTTGGCGGGAGTTGGTCAGCAGCTGTGTTCACTGAGGGCTTCCTGTGAGCAGGCCCTAGGTCTCCCCCCTGTGCTTGGCTTCTCTGGGTGTGGGGCTTGCTGGTTGTTGGTGAGGGAACGTGATGAAGGCAGCTGGCAGGTGAGCAGGCCGCTCTCGCCCTTTCTCCATCGCCCCGTCCTATCACCAACTTGCTGCCTGAGTGAACTTGTGCAAATTACTCAATCTCGTGTCTTCATCTGTAAAACATCTTGAGTGGTTGTTGTGAGGATTCCTGTAAAAGCTTAAAAATTTAAACAAATGGTTGTTGCCTCATGTTTAGGAAGCTTTTTCACACAGACCTCCCTCATTTGAATTTCACATCACTGTGAATTAGCCGGGGCAGGTATTCTTAGCCCCATTTCACAGGTGAACTAGCTGGGCGTAAGTGTTTAATCACATGGTCTTATGTCAGGGGTCTGCAAACTAAGGCCTACCTACTTTTGTACTGTCCCTGCGCTGAGTGGTTTTTACATTTTTAAATGGTTGGGAGAAAAAGATGGGAAGAAGAGTAGTGTTTTGTGACATGGAAATTATATGAAATTCTAATTTCAGTGTCCATAAGTAAAGTTTTACTGGAACGTAGTCACACCCATTTGTGTAGAGAGTGTCTGTGGCTCCTTGACGGCTACAGTGGCAAAATGGAGTGGCCCACAAAGTCTAAAATGCTTGCTGTCTGGTCCTCTGCAGAACGGTCTCAGTCATAAGTTAACGTTGAAGAGCCAAGCTGGGCTTGTCCTGGCTCTTAAAAAAGAACTTTGCACTGCCTCCCGGGGCCTCTGTAGTTACCTGGGTTATCAGGGCTGGATACCGGACAAACAAACCTGGTGCCATCAGGTTGCTTCTGACTCATAGTGACCCTGTAGGACAGAGGAGAACTGCCCCATAGGATTTCCATGGAGCAGCTGGTGGATTGGAACCGCCAACCTTTTGGTTAGCAGCTGAGCTCTTAACCACTGTCCCATCAGGGCTCCCAAGGCTGGATAAACTTAAATTAGTTAGTCCCACTGAGTTACTAGTCACCTTAAGGACATCACTGTATGGGAGTGAGGACTCATAGGAGCTTCCTAGCCCCCTGGCCAGACGCCATCCTCCTGGGTGTCAGCAGCGAAGGCAGTCCAGGGAACACGTTGTCAGAATTGGCACCAGGAGGAAGGGGCCACCCACCATGTCTTGCTAGGCAAGTAGGAGAGTTGTTGTGACAGGATGGCGTTGTCCACGACCCCGCTGTGGGAAATTCAGCAGGTTTGCAGCACCTGAGAAGTTTTGAGCTTGAGGGCTCTCGTGCAGGTGCTTTTATTTACAAGCCAAGTGTTGGCGTCCCCGTGTCCACCTGATGCACCCTCCCAGACTCCGCCCCCCCAGACTCCACACAGAGTGTGGCCGCGCAGCGCACGGGGGCTTGCGCGGCAGCGTGGCCACTTGGTGTTTCCATAGTGGCATGACTGTCTCTGTTTAGTTTCCCATAGCGGCGTGACTGTCTGTTTACCTTGCTTTACATGAGAACCTGGTAACTTCTCCCTCCTGTTTTCTGAGCTGTCTGTTTTATCTTTTTAACATGTCTTTCCATCATTTTTATTTTACCACATGTTGTCATACCAAACCATGTGCTTAAAATTACAGTTTTTTCCCAGGTTTGAGAAGCCTCTGTTTTTCGTTTTGGGGTTTGTTTCAAATATTTAGCTTATGGGCCGGGCACCCTGAAATCGTCTCCCAAGCACCAGGTGTAGACGAGCCTTCCTGTGAGCATCACTGGAGCAAAACTGGGCCCATGTTGGAGGAAAATCCCAGAACATCCCGCAGGGGAGGTTCCGTCATTGGAAGCACAAGGCTTCTAGTCTCACAAATACAAGCCACGTAAACATCGTGAAGGACAATCAAGAACGAAGCGTGGTACTTCATCTCTCTGCTAGAGTGCTGTGCTGAGCCTTTGGGAGTTTGAGAAACTTCCCTATCCTCTCCCTGCCTCTGTTTCCTGCCTGTGAAACGGGGATGGTAGTAATAGTACTGCCTCATAGGGTTCTTCTGAGGATTAAGTGACAGGATGTGTAAGCGTTCACAGCAGTGCCTGGCCTGCACCAAGCTCTGGGCAACATCTGTTGTCATCGTCATTGCTAAATGGCTTCCTTTATTTGCGCCCAGACCTTTGGACCTTTTTTTTCCCCCCTTATGCTTCTGCCATACCATTATTTGGGAGGCCCAGGCAGTTTCAGACTGGGTTCTGATTTTTCAGGAGCCTTTGAGTACAAATACTTCTTGTATCAGTGTTGTACTAGCCCTCAATCCCCTGAGAGGATTGTCCTAAAGTTGGGCTGGTTTAGTTACAGAATAAAAGAGGTGATGACTCGTGGATGTCTGCCTGTGTCGCTGGTGTTACTTCTGTTGTCTTAGCTGCTAAAGGAGAGCCCTGCCCACTCGGTCCTTTTCGTCACAAGTGCCTGAGCAGCTCCCTTCTGTCCCCAGAATGTATTCCACGATGTCTCTACACAAGATGTCTTTACAGGAGAGCACAGCTGTAGGCCTCCAGGATGCAATTCACTGCCCTTAGTAGCCGCTGAGAAAAAGAGGGAGGAGGTTTTGCGTGAAAGAATGGCAGCTTTAAGGCAGATGAAAAATTTCTTACCTGCAAGTGTTTCTTTAATCCTGTAAGTAGTAGTATTTATAAACATGTAAGAATAATCTATATTGTCCACCTGTCAGATAGGACTTCTGAATAGTCCACATATGATAAATGTCTTCAGGAGAATTGATCTACTGACTTTACGTTCTGCCAGCCGAAATTTATTTTACTTTAGCCCCTTTGAATACTGATCACAGATTAAGAGATGAGTTACTGCAGTTACCCTCAGGCTTGGCCTTGGTCATTACCAGAGCCGTGTGTGGAGAGACTGATGACCTTGTGACTGTAGGCACATCCCTGCATCCTGTTTTCTTTGGTTTCTGTGATTTTAGTATCTGAATGAAGTTATGATGGAAGCACAGAAGACAGAACCGTTAGCTTTTAGTTTCTCAGGTGTTAAAGTAGATGCCAGGTCACCTTTTCAACATGGGGATCCCTTCAGTGATCCACTAGAGAGTACTGGCAGCTCCTTCCCCGACACAAGTGGGCCCAGCCGGGGGAGTCCTCGTGCCTGGAGCACCTGAGCCCATCCTTCCAGAAAGACAAACAGACAAGACCTCAGTGATTGTTCCGTATAACTGTTGTCCACATGATTGATCATGTTTTCAAATAGATTCTTTTTTTCTCATTAATATGATGGTGGGTTTTTAAGCTGCTGCTTCACCGAAAGGCATAAATGGAAACGGGAACCCACTGGCATTATTGCTGAAAAGAACTCATTTTAGTATGCTGCTCGTTCTCACGTGATTCTTTTTGACAAATCTTTTACCCTTTTGACATAGATGTGTTAATACATGCTCTTCACCTAACAACAACTTCAAATATCTGAGTGAAAAAGTTATGAAAGATAAATACGATACCCAGGTTGCTGTTTGCCCTGAACAAATTAAATAAATTTAGCCCAGTTAATTGCTTCAGAAAAACGGCTGCCATTTGTTCTCTAAAAGAGAAAGGTCAGGTTATGCCTTAGAGTCTAGCGGTCGCACTGTTGAGTCAGACCCTGTTTGGGAGATAGCCGTGTCGTCGGAGGAAACCCAGCTGACAGCAGCATAGCTGTAAACACTGCGGTCAGTGCAGATTCGTTCGTTAAATCAGACACACAGTTGTTCATGTCTTCACGTGTTCCACAAGGGCTTTCTGTGTAGCCTTGTTTGTTCTCTGGTGAACAAGTCTGTGTATTATAACATGTTGGACAGTGACGTCACTTTTATTTCCATAAATGACTCATGCATGAGCAAAAATTGAGTCATAGTGTTTTAAGAATGTTTCAGCGTAGTAGAGGATTTAGGCAGATCGCTTTGCTTTTTCAAATTAAAGGCCAGGAAGTCAAATATTTGACCTCTTCGACATACCTGTTTCTTCTCCTACAGAGACAGACGACTATGCTGAGATCATAGATGAGGAAGACACCTACACCATGCCCTCCAGTAAGTAGACTTAACGGTTTTGTTCTTGTTGGGATTTGGCAGATAGCACTTCCCATTTAAAAGTTTAAGATGTTATGGTCCTTTTAGAACTGTTTCCAATGCCTCATTCAGTGCTCAACAGAAATATTCTTTTCAACCTCTAGAATTCTGTATTACTTTTGCCCGTTTTAAGGTAGCATGGATCAGAAAAAGAAAATGCAGATTTCTATCATAATTCACTTTAATTAGAGGCTTTTTTAAAATCTTGTTTTCTGGCTCTCTGATAATACAACCTTTGTTAATTAGAGTGTTAGCATTACCTGAAGGTTAAATATTACACACATACTCAAAGAACTGCATTGTGCCCTTGAAACTGTGCTTTATTGCCATTGAATAACCAATACAGTAGCTTCCAGCATTCAAACTGCACACCTGGGGGTGGGAGGTGGAGAGAGTCGACGCTCCTCAGCAACCCACCCGCAGCCTAGATGTGCCAGTGTTATCCTATGCCCATACCCGTGATGAGCTGCTTCTTGATCGAGGAGAATCTGGAAGTCCGAGATTGCGAGTTAGAATATATAGTCCCCTTTCGTGACTTAGATCTGCCCTTAAAATGTCATTCACTTAAAACATTTGGACCTGCCTCCTGAAGAGGCCCAGTTCTGAGGCCACCCTACGGCTTCAGAAGCCTTTAGCCGTTCAACACGTGGTGCCCTGATTTCAGTCGAGTCGTAGACGAGATGTTTCAGGTCCCTTCCCTCTCCGTGTGTAAACTTTCTAAAAGCTGCTCCCAGTGGGGTTTACTGTATACACTGAGAAGATGTTAACTTCTTGGGCACTCACTACCCTGGGAGGGCTCCTGTGCCCCCTTTCAAGAGCTCCTCTGTTAAGGGTGATTCAAAACAGAGGCAAGAGCTGAAAGCTAAGTGTGTACATTTTGACAGGCAGTAGCAATTTGGAAAAATGTTTAAATTTTTAGTTAGCCATTTAGTCATTTGTACATTCCTACAGACAATCCGAATTTTTATTGCTGTATTTGTTATTCAGAGTTCAGTAGTAAGTGTCCGATGTGGCCAACTTTAATGCAAACCAAAAACAACAACAAAAAAATCAAACCCGTTGCCGCTGAGTCAATCGCAACACATAGCGTCTCCGTAGGACAGACTAGAACTGCCCCGTAGGGTTCCCGAGGAGTCCTGGTGGATTCACACTGCCGGCCTTTTGGTTAGCAGCTGAGCTCTTAACCACTGCGCCGCCCAGAAAACTGAACTATAATATAGGAGCTTATAAGATCAGGATTTAAAGGCATTGTTTACTCCATTGAATTGATTTGAAGATAGTTTTTCCTTGTGTTTAAATTTCTGTTTTGTATCTTACGTTCATCCTTAAAATATGCTTTGTTGTTGTTAACCTAATTGCTATTAGTTATTTCTAAGCAAGGTCTTCAATTTTTTTCTCTCTTAATTGCAATACAGAAAGCTATGGAATAGATGAAGGTAACAGGGTTCCTTTAAAATAACTGCATTGCTTGCAATTGCAACCTGTGGAGTGATACGGGGTGTTTCAATTTTCAGTTAACTTTTATTTTTAAACTCTTTGTCATTGGTTTACTCATGCTGTTAAATCAATGGAATTACTAGCTAAAGTGATTTTAAAGAGGAAAACACACATCTAAAATTTGGGTTGAGTTTTCTATATGATTTATAATCTGATAAGCCAGGCAGAATTTTTTTAGATACCTGACTATTGGTTATTCTGTTGGTGATTACACTAATGGAATATATGCTGTATGAGTTATGAGTATCACTTCCTTGATGGAAAGAAATCAAAATACCAAGTAGTTAATTAAATTAGGATTCATCTACTGGGTTCCTAGTGGATATTTTCTTCACCTGTGCCTCAACAGCCCACTAAATAATTGATTCTGTATAAAGCACGACAGTTTAATATGTTAATTTGAGGCAAATACTTTAAAAGGTATAAAATACTTATGATTTATGTACTGATATATTCAACCTTGATTCCAAGTCATCTAATTTTGAAATTAATCCTTAGAAGTGACCTCTTTAAACTCTTTTAGCTCCATGAATAATATAGACATAGGATTATAATAAAGTGGAAAACTCTTAAACTTACAAAACATAAAGTTTCATGACAGAATGGGAATTTTATGTTGCTTTTATATTTACAAACTTTAGATATTTGTAAAATAATTGCTTTAAATAACTTTTTATAGTCTTTATATATTAATACCTAAACTAATAGCACTTATTAATTAAGCATATAATTTAATCCTTGGAGCAATTATTTAGAAAACTTTTAAATAGAAAATAAGCCGTCCATCCAAAAACTCGTAAGGATGGCATTAAAAAATCTGCCTTTAATGTAACTCATTGTTATAGCAGCTTAACCAGGGCCATAAGGGTAACTGAAATTCCTTTTTAAATATTGTTTAAGAGAATTCCACGGTTTAAAGCATTTTCATGGATTGATGTGCCACAGATGAAATCTTTACTCATGGATGATAATACGTGAAATGTGTTGATTATCATTTCTCTGTTTAGAATGTTGTACTTGACTGGTCTTTTTTGGATCATTTTTTTTGCAGCCAGGGATTACGAGATCCAAAGAGAACGAATAGAGCTGGGGCGCTGTATCGGAGAAGGTCAATTTGGAGACGTACATCAAGGGGTTTATATGAGTCCGGTAGGTCCTTTAAGACCACCAAAACTCGGGACTAATTCTGACTGTTTCAGTCAAACTGCCTCTTGGTTATCTTCATGAGTACTTAGTTCTTCTAGGTGTATGTCGTCATTGTTTATGAAGCTCATACATGTCAACTAGGTGGAATATTCAGAAACCAGCACACTGCAAAATCAGCTCTAGAGAGCTGGGTCTGTCTTGACCTTTCAGCCTGTGTCCTCAGTAACAGTTCCATGAATGACTGCATTGACAGGTTGGACGGCCATTGTCGACAGCAGTAGCCAGTATTCTTGCTTACCTGCATTTTCAAGAAGAAGCGTGGATTTGCCCCAGTATACTCTCCAAAAGAGATCAGTGGTATTTTTAAATTATTTTTATTTTTTCATTAATGGCTTTATCGAGGTATAATTCGTTATACCATAAAATTCACTCTTTTTTTGAAGTGTACATTTTAGGGGGTTTTAGTATATTCAAGGAGTTGTGCAACCATCACCACAATCAATTTAGAGCATTTTTATCACCCCAACAAGAAACCCTCCATTCCTGTTAGCAGTCACTCCCCATTTCTCCTGGTAACCGCCAGTCTGCTTCCTGTCTCCAGGAATTAGCCTGTTCTGGATGTTTCATGTAAAAGGAACCGTACAAGATGTGACCTTTTGTGACTGGCTTCTTTCGCTTAACACAATGTTTTCGAGATCCATGTATGTTGTAGCAGGTATCAGAACTTCTTTTTTATGGCCAAATAACACTCCGTTGTATGGATATACTACATTTTGTTTATCCATTCATCAGTTGATGGGACAGTCAAGTTGTTTCTACCTTTTGGGTACTGGGAATAATGCTGCTGTGAGCATTCCTTTACAAGTTTTTGTGCAGACATAGCTTTTCAGTTCTCTTAGGTATATCCTAGGAGTGGAATTGCTGGGTCAGATGTTACCTCTGTGCCTAACTTTTTGAGGAACCAGAGCAACTGCACCATTTTACACTTCTCCAGCGGTGTGTAGGGTTCCAGTTTCTTCACATCCTCACCAGCCCTTGTTATTGTCTGTTTTTTAGACCAGTGACTTTTACATGAATGGCATTTTAGAATAATAGTACATGCTTGTGAAGAAACTCCTTGTAACCTGAGTAACTGACCTGTGTGCAGAGATGGCACCAATAAAGCCACAGCAGCACAGATCGCTGAGGTCTGTGGAACCTCTGCTTTAGAGATTACTAAGGGGACTTTCCCCATTGCTTCCGTGGCCATGATCTTCTGTATCCTTTACACATACACATAGATAACGCTGAGCGTTGCTTTATAACCAAAAGGCCAGTAAAAGACTTCGGTCAGGGACCACAGAGAATTGCCACCATGTAGCTACACCAGTTAGAGGCTACAAAAGTTCAGTGTTGAAGGCCTCTGCTCTTGTGTTTATGTAGCATCGTTTAATGTACTATATTTCGTTAGCTGTTGTTTACTCCTTTTCCACTAGTTTTTTACACTCTGCCTTGTTTGTTTGCATAATTCTCTTAACTCTGTTCCTTGAGGCAAAATGCAGTAGAAAGAGCACAGGGTCTAACTTCAGTCAGAAGGCCAGAAGTTTAGACGTGGTCTGCCTGACTGAGTGAGGTTTCTTGACTGTACTGTACTGAACCAGATGGGCTCTGTGGCTCCTTCCATCTCTCAATTCTTCATTGGTCAGCGTTCTGACGTGCCCGGAGCTCAGTGACCTTCCTGGGCACACAGCTAGTAGCAGGGTCAGGGTGCTTTATTTCATTCACTTTTAATACACGTAACCCATGTTGGTTGTGAAAATACAAGAGAGCAACCTTTAAAATACCCGCAGGCCAGTGTTTATTACATGTTTGTTGAGTGAGTGCCGGTCCCCAGAAGACACCAGGGCTGCCATGCTGTAGAGCACCCTCCTATGTGAGCACTCTTTGTGAGTGTTCGTTTTGTTTGAATGTGGGATGGAGTTTTACATGTAAAGGAGTCTCTTCATCTCTCTAGATTTTTAATGTAAATACTTTTCCAGATTATATCTTTTAGTGTTCTGTAAAATCAAATAACATTTCACAAGGGATTCGCAATAACTGGTCAAAATATGATTCAGAGCGTAAATTTCAAGAACAGGGGCCTATCATTGGTTACTTTATTTGAGATTCAACTAATTCTTCAAGCAACTGTTTTATTGGTAACTGCTTGGCAGCGAACTGAAGGGTCAGTGGTTCGGACCCACCAGCTACTCCACAGGAGAAAGATGTGGCAGTCTGCTTCCATAAGGATTACAGCCTTGGAAACCCTATGGGACAGTTCTGCTCTGTCCTGTAGGATCGCTGTGAGTCAGATTAAGCTCGATGACAGTGGATTCTGCCGTGTGAAAGGTGCTGTTTCTAGGTGGTGGGGATAGAACAGTGAAGAAAACTGGTGGAGTTTCTGCCCTCAAAGAGCTTAGATTCTGTCTGAGAATGAGGGGACAGGCAAAAGCAGTACGTGGAGATCAAGTCGCCCATATGAGCTCTGAGAGGAGCCGAGCAGGGTGCTGCTACACGGGATGGTCAAGAGAGGCTTTCTAAGAGGGGCTGGGCTGTCCCTGAGATTGCCGTGGGGAACAGTGGTCAGGGCAGGAAGACCAGCCAGTGCAAGGGCCTGAGGTTGGGCAGGGAAGAAGGAGAGCAACAGGAAGTGAGGCCCGAGAGGTCTGCAGGACCTTTAAAAACACAACATTATGGAAAAGCTTTCCTCTTTCCTAAATGTTGCCTGTGTTTTCAGGAAGGTTTTTAAAATCAGATCTTGAGCAATTACCTAGGTTTGTTTGAATCTGCCCCTTTTTTAGTTTTTAGGAAGAAGCTTCTGCATGAGTTCTGACCTTGCTTTGGATCCACTATTCTCCAACAGTCCGGTCTCTCCATGACCAGGCCCTCTAACGCCTTCTGCTGTCCAGTACAGTGCTGTGGCCACAGGTCACGGCCCCTGGACTGATGCTGAGCACCAAAGGCTGCCCGGTTTGCCTGGGTGCTGCCCTGGGAAATGAGTCTTCAGAGAGCAGTGTTCCGTTTGTGCTTTCCGGATGGTCTTTTTAAAGCACCATGTTCAGTGGGTATTTGAATATTAATTGACAGGATTGATGATAGTTTTATAGTCATAGAGAAGTTTTTGTTGTTATTTATATTTTTTATAAAATGGGCATTTTATATCATTTCTAAAGCGTAAAACCAAAAAATAAACCAGTTGCCATTGAGTTGATTCCAACTTGTGGCGACCCTCTGTGTGTCCGAGTAGAACTACTCCATGGGGTTTCCATGGCTGCGATCTTTCAGAAGCAGATCACTAGGCCTTTCTTCTGAAGTACCTCTGGTGGGGTTTGAACCGTCAGCCTTCTGGTTCGTAGTCGAGTGCTTAACCGCTTGCACCACCCAGGGACTCTTTGTAAAGTGTATCGATCAGCAAATATTTTTTGAATACCTGTGATGTATGTCCATCCCTATATTTAGTTAGAGATAGAATTCATGGTCTCAGTTCTAAAGAAATTTATGTTCTAGTTAAGAAAGACAGGACTGACCCCACCAGAGCAGAGCGGTTTTGGTGTGTGGGTTAGCGTGGTGTATGCTTGGGGTTCTAAGAAGGCTCTAAACTCGGGCGTTAGTGGACAGGCATTCTGCGCTCCTCATGCCCTTCCTTGTGAGCTGACTGCTCTGTGCTCCGGGGACCAGGGCACCATCACCACCCTAAGCTGCCCTGAGGCATCTGCACCTGGGCGTAGCTGTCCAGCGTGAAGGAAGGGACCGCAACTGCTGGAATCTTAGGTTGCAGTCATTTTGCCACTTATACTTCTCTTGTTTGGAAACATTTTATATCCTAGAATCATATAATGTGCATTTAGTGTGAAATCGAAAATAAATCCAGTAAAACCTGCGAAAGCTGGAACCTGTGTAAGCGGAAACCTGTCAGAGAAGGAAAACACAAATATTTCCCACTAAAACGAGCGATAGAAAAGTGAGATGGCACCCTGTCAGGCAGAAAACCCGGGAGACCTGGACAGCCAAGGCAGTCCTGTTGCGTTGCGGCTCTCCCAGGTTTCACTGTAGTTTTTTAAGGTATTTTTGAAATATACCACAGCTGACTTAGAAGTGAGCCTCTGCGTTTAAAAGAAAGATATGAATAGCGCTCATCAATTTTACAAATATTTATTGAGCAGACTGTGAACCAGGTAGTATCCTAATGGGGATCTTGTGGCAGACAAGTTCATGCTCTCTTACAACTTGTATTTTAGGGATGGAAAGGAGACAGTAATGTAATAATAATGACAAGGCAGAAGTGTGAGAGCAGTAATGTCAATCAGTCAGTGACTAACACACAGATTGGGATAAGGGTTAAGAAGAAAGGCAGGTGAGTGGACAGAGTGAAGGGCAGTGGCTGGGCACTGTTCTAGACGGGACGGTCAGGGAGGCCTCTCTGAACCAGGCCCTCAGTGGGCGGAGCATTCCAGGCCTGAGCAGAAGGGAAGCTGTGTGAACACCGTGCAGAAGAGAGGCCTGCAGAGCCGTCGAGGTGGGGGAGCGGGCTGTGGACCAGATTGTTGTTAGTTGCTGTCTGACTCATGGTGGCCCCGTGTATGCAGAGTAGGGCTGTGCTGCATAGAATTTTCAAGCCCGTAACCCTTTGGAAGCAGGCCACCAGGCCTGTCTGCCAAGGCGTTTCTGGGTGGGCTTGAACTGCCGACCTTCTGGCTAGTAGTGGAGCATTTAACCATTTGTACCACCCAGGGACTCCTAAGAGTTTTAAGCAGAGTAATGAGATGATCTGATTAACATTTTGGAAACTTCCTCTGACTGCTGCATGCAGACTGGGTAGTAGAAGAGCAAAGGTAGATGCCGCACAGTAGGATCGGGGCGAGGCGGTGGTGTCATCATTAATGAGCTCACAGCAGTATCAGTTCTAGGGTGGGTCAGACTCTGGGTCGGTGATGTCAGTAGGGCCATGTAGGTGGGCTCAGTAGGGCTTGCTCCTGGGTTGGTGGGTCTAGGGGTGAGAGAAACAGAAGAGTCAAAGATGGCTTCTGGATGGTCTGCCTGGAGTGTCTTTGTGAGATGAGGAAGACGTGGGAAGAAACAGATTTGGTGGCAGGATAGCTAGACTTTTGTTTGGTCATGTCGAGTTTAAAAACACTTTTCCACATTCTGGTCACACCAGAGAGTAGGTAGGTTGGGTGTGTGGGCTGAAAGGGAAGGTCAGGACTGGAAGTACCAGTCTGGAGTCAGCATACAAGTGGTAGTTGAGTCTCTGGCTCTCGATGATAACTTAGAGCTGACAGGGCAGAGTGCCCGACATCCAACTCTGAGAAGACAGGAAGTTATATCAGTCCTCCTGTGTCTCGTCTAATTCCAGTCTTTTCTGCTATGGCAGAATTAATGTGACTGTCCACAGTTGAGTGGCAAGAATTTTTCTGAGGAACTTGATATATTCGAGTTTCATCAGCACTTAAGTAATTAACCATAGGCACCATTTCAGAGTGAAATCTTGTGACATGCGGCACTCCCCCCAGGCTGGGAGCAGTGGCTTGTGCTCAGAGGGGTGCTGTGTGACCACGCTGCTGCCACTACCCCCGGGTTCTCACAACTACCCATGCCGTACGCCTCCCGAAGCAGTGCCCGTGACCCAGGAGCGTGCCCCGTGCCAGCAGGCGGGCCTTGACACTCCACCTAACCTGTCAGCCTCTGCTGGCTCACCTGTAAAATGGGTATCCTAGGCTCTGTCTTACAGCTTGTTCTGAACAGTAAGATAACATGTGAACCCAATAAGGTAACGTACATATAACGTAGAAGCGTTCAAACCCAATCAAGAAAACTGCAGCACACAGAGATTAAGTCGTGTGAGTCCTCCAAGGACTCACACCTGTCTAGTTAGGGCACCACCTAGCTGCTTCCAGGGAGAGAAAACCTGAGTCAATTCTGATGCATAGCGACCCTATAGGACAGAGTAGAACTGCTTCATAGGGTTTCCAAGGCTGTAATCTTTATGGGAGCAATTGCCAGGTCTTTTCCTTCAGGAGCAGCTGGTAGGTTTGAACCTCTGACCTTCCGGTTAGCAGCCAAGTGCTTCGCCACTGTGCAGCCAGGGCTCCCCCCAGGGAAAGATGAAAATCAGTATGCACACCCCTTGGCTTCTGGTCTTCCCTCTGGAGCTTCCATCTCTGCCTGGTTGATTTCATCCACATTTCGACTCTTATCCCCTCAGAGCTCTCTGGAGAGAAAGGGAGCAAGGAAGCTTGGGAAGGACTCTTAGAACGGAGTCAAGGGATAGCAGCCGTGGAGCTGAGCCGTAACTCAGCGTTTCTTAGATCTCTGGCTTTCCCTGCATTCTCCTCACTTCTTTCTCCCTCCCTCTTCCTCCGTGACAGAATTACAGAGTATACAGTGCCAGCTAATAAGTGTAGATGATCTGCAAAGACCGCTAAAGCCCAGGATTAGATAAGCATACAGTTGCTAAGCGGAAACACCTGTGATGCTCTCCTGATCTGCGAGAGACAGCTTCTTACTTCTTGTGTTTACAGAGCCTGCCTTTTGAACCTGTTTAAGGAGAGAGACTGGCCTTCAGGACAGCACGTTTGCCTGGTTTTTCTCCTGTCTCACTGCTCATAGCTTCTTAGTCTCCTGCTGTTTTCTCCCCTTCCCCTGACCTCTTTGTGTCGAAGACGCCAAGCCACCGCAGTCCCTGGACCTTTGCGTTCACTCCCTTGGTGATTCCACTCAGTCCCCTGGCTTTAAGTCCCTGCTGGAGTGTTGATGACATCCACGTTTGTATCTCCAGCTCAGATGTCTCTCCTGATCTCTAAACATGCTCTCCCACTGCCCATGCCACCTGGGTGATGTGCTGTCTCCAGGACCTCTCAGCTGAAATCACGTCCACACCTTCCCCTTCCAATCCTCTAGGAAGGCAGGCCCTTTCCACCTTCAGAGTAAATCCACAACCGGACCTCGCTCACATCCCCCTGCTGCATCCGTGTCGTACTCCCCTTGTCCATCCCCTGGTGCTGCCGCGGCCTCGTGGCAGAGCCCCTGCTCCTGCCCTCCTTCCATGTTCCTGCCCTCCTCCCCTGCAGCCGCGTCTCAGCATCACGCCAGAGCGCACGTCAGCCCTGCATTCTCCCTCACTCCCTCTGCACCACTGTGCTGCTCCTTGAACTCTCCACCCACGCACATTCCCACTCTAGGCCTGGACTCTGCTCTCTGCCGGGCCTGCCCCCACACAGCTGCTGCCTAACACGCTGACCTCCTCAGTTCCATACTCAAACCTCACTCACTGGGTGCGGTCGGCTTGACCACAGCCCCCACTCACATCCCCTATCCCTCTGTTACCTTCTAATATAGCATGTAATTAACTCGCTTATTGTCTGTGGTCCCCACTGGCCTGTAAGCTTGACGAGAGCGGGGACCGCTGCCTCTCTCGGTGACTGGTGTACCCCAAGCACCTGGAAACCTGCTAGATACTCAGTAAATTTTAGTGGATAAATGACTGCACGTGTAGAGGGGTGCAGGCGTGGGAAGGAGTCCCAGTGCTCAGGACTCAGGCCTGTGTGGCAACACGCGAACAGCCTGGCTTCTGTCTGGTTGGCGTTTCATCCGAGCAGCCAGACGCCAGTGCTGGCCCAAGGCCGCAGGTGTATCTCTCTGCGGGCTGGGCCTGTACTTCCTCCCCTGGTGCTGCTTACCCGTGTTCACTTGGGCTTACGGGACAGCTTGTTTTGGTAAGACGTTCTTTTCGTGTGTGACCACTGGGATCTGGGTGAGACAGATCTGGTCTTTTGTTTTGTCAATACCACACAAACTTCCCGTTTGAAGCCTCGGTTTTAAGAATGCTAACAAACTGAGGCATGTTCCAGAGGTAGCCATTGAGATGGTGCAGGGCCTTTGAAGACCAATGGGGAGAATTAAAATCGGAGATTCTTCACCTGAGGCCTCTGGGCCTGCAAGCTGCCTGCAACATTTTATATTTTTTCTAGGGGTTTGATACAGAGTATTCCAAGTATACACAATGCTCCGCTGGTTCCTCTCACAGGACGTTACAGCCCCGGTTCTGTCTGGTCCAGAATCCACACAGCTGCAGAACAAACAGCTTTCTGCGAGTGTGCCCGGTGGTTAATGTGGAGAACCTCTTTTCGCATGTGTGTGATTCTATAATTTTCCTAACACAGGAGAATCCAGCTTTGGCGGTTGCAATTAAAACATGTAAAAACTGTACTTCGGACAGCGTGAGAGAGAAGTTTCTTCAAGAAGCCTGTAAGTTTCTAGAAATTTCTGTGAAACTCCGTTTGATGTTATATCTGTGAAATTCAAGCTGTCTCCAAAGAAGGAAGAAAAACAATGTTCTAGTTTTTGTGAGATAGCTATATTTATTACCTTACTTGCACAATTAATGTCTGTATGTATACAGGTACCTACCTACATGTTGTTCCAGGTAAACCATGATATTTGGGATGTTAGCGGCAGACTGATATACTTTCCCTTTATATGTGGGCACCCGTGCCACTAATGTCTGCACTGGAATTGGTGCAGTGGATCAGTGATCCAGCCCCGAGTCCCATGCCCTGGAAGCACAGAGGTGAACAAGACAGACAGCCCTGCCCTGAGGGAGCCCCAGACTGGTTGTAGGAGGAAGGCATAGGACCTGGTCCTGCTACAAAAGTAGAAAGACTCACCCAAAAGTAAACACAGAACTCCTGATGCCTTCCCAGGTGACATTAACTAGAGGGGACTTCCCTGCTTCTTCCTCTGCTTTTGGTCTGCATCTCATGATGAGGCTGCCTTGAGTGAGTTGTGTGTGGATACTTCTTGTCACCTTCTGAAGGCATCCTCTGGGACCGTCTCGTGTGCCTCAGGCTCTTTCCTCCCTGGCCTCCGCTGTGGGGACTCGTCCTCTCCCCTCACACGAATGGATCCCTCTCAGTCCCCAGCCCCCAGCTCAGATGTCCTTCCACAGCAAAACCTTTTCTGCCCGCCATATGTAAAGTTGATCTCCGCTTGGCGTTCCTTGTCACAGAACATGCTCTTTGCCTTCGTAAGGACTCGCAATTAAATGTGCCTTGTTTATAAATCTTGCAGGCTGTTTTTCCCTCTAGACCGTAAGCTCCACAGGGGCACCGGCCATGTCTCTTGCTCACTGCTCTACCCCCAGGGCGCGGCACGGCGCGTAACACAGGGAAGGCACTCAGCAGACATTCCTTCTATGGCTGAATCTCAGTGCCCTTCGTTAAATGTACATCAAATGCGTGCCTTCTACTCTCCATCTTAGTACAGTGAATTACTAAGTCCTGGAGTAAATCCTGTGTCCCTTCATCGCTGAAGTCTCAGTACATCCGTAATCCTATTCCTGAGTCTCTGATGGAAGTACAGGAAGGTCTGGCCAAGGACTTCTGTCCCGACTGGTTCATTGCCGCCAAGTGCCGTGGCCACCGTTACCTGACACTGTCTGCCTTACCTTTGGAGGCACTGTATATTTTCAAAAATACAGGTTTTTAAATTGCTCATGTTTCTAAACTTTTTCTGAATAGTTACTATATTGTGATTTTTGGAGAACTTTGGAATCACCGTTACAAGCATCAGTAATACAGTTTTATAAGAGTAGACAAGTCAGACTAAGCTTGTTTTCATCTTTGAAAGGGTTCCTCGGCTTTTATTCAGGGCACTGTGTTAGGTGTAGGAAGTGCACCCCTCCACGGGGATTTAGCAGGCTCTGTACGTAGGAGGGTAGGTGTTGCCTAGGTCAGATGTCAGTAAACTTCTGCTAGACAGTAAATCTTTTAGACTTTGCGGGCCCTACGCAGTCTGTCTCAACGGCCCAGCTCTGCCGTTGTGGTGGAAACGGGGCCGTAGACAGTACCTGAGAGAGTGAGCGGGTGTGTTCCAATGAAACTTTATTTACAGAAACAGGCGGTGGCCAGCGGGCCTTCGTTTACAGCCCCTTGCCTGATGGATAAATAGCTGGTGGAACCCCTGTACCTGTTGACTTTTAATTCAGTTTCCCGCTGACCACGTGGCTCTCCTCGTAGCCCTGTGCTGTTCAGTGTTTGTGATAATTAGTTCACAGCAGGTATAAAAGGCCTGATAATTGCATATGAGGACAACACGAAACCGAAAATGATGGTAAATATAACTGAAAATAAAAGTAAACACTCTGGGTGCCTGACTTTTTATCCAGAGAGATCACAGTATATGTAAGCAATGAACTGAAGCAGGCAAGATGGAATTTAAGAATACACTTTGGATTTTGTACTGGGTGTTTATATGTTTTTAAAAGCTACTACGTCTTGGAACACGTGGGGGGAAAGGCCTTAGGGGTTTGAGTTCTCTCCCGTGAAGGTGAAGCAACTTTGCAAGATTCTAAGGTGACCTTTGGGTGGGTGGACAGGATGTGAGTTGCCGGGAGTGAGAGCAGGAGAGGACCCAGGCCTGATGGCAGGCTCCACACTTAAAACACATGTAAGTAATGTGAACCTCACTCGGTGGAAGGCGACTTCCGTAGTGAAGGGCCTTGGAACCGCACTGTCTGAGAACTGGTTGAAGTTGTTTAGTGTGGAGAAGACACCGAAAGAACAGGAACATGGCAGCAGATTTTCAAAGAGCTGTCCTGTGCAAGTGAATGTAAACATTTTTTTCTAACAGACTAGGCAGAAAAATGGGATAGAAGGTAGAAAAATCATCAGTTAATGAGGAAACCAGTAAGATGTTACAACTCGTCCAGAGGAGAATTCCAACCACACATACAGAGGAATAAGGAATTCTGAAATGAATTTACAGGTGGATGCAAAAAATTAATTACATTGCCAGGCACAACTAATGTGTGTTTCTACGGACAAAGAACTTTGTGCCTTATTATCATATTACTAATTTTCTACAACTTACCAAGTTGTAAAATCCCTCAAAGACAGTGAAAGGCTGGAATAACCCAAATGAGTGAGCTAGATAGGATACCCGCTAGTATTTTTTTTTTTAACCCATTTCAAAGTCTCTCACGATTTTTCCTGACAACATTCATATACCTGTTAGTTTATAACATGTTAGTGATATTAAAGGATAATGGCTTCTGCTATTGTTCTAATGCCCTTACTTGTTATCATGAAAATCAACCCTGCATTGGTCCCCCAAATAAACTTTTTCCCTGCATTTAAAAAGTCTGAAATACAAATGCTTTTGGGACCACTGAACTAGGTCACCTTGACAGTCACTTCTGATTTGCAATCCTTCAGTTCTATGAAGATTACCCTGAGACTTACAACTCATAGTGTATTATGGAGGTGACCTTTTTAGCTCTGCTATCAGAAATTGTAAATATGCACACAGCTACGAGTACCTCCATGCACATAACCTAAAAAAAAAAAAAAACTCCATTGCCATCAAGTCAATCCCAACTCGTAGTGACTCTATAGGACAGAGTAGATCTGCCCCATAGGGTTTCCCAGGAGCAGCTGGCGGATTCGAACTGCCGACCTTTTGGTTGGCAGCCGAGCTCTTAACCACTGTGCCACCGGGGCTCCATCCGTGCACATAGGTCTGTACGTATATGTGCACTGTCCCCTCTTGGTCATCGAAGGCTCTGTCAAGCCGAAGGGTGCCACAGGCTGTGCTTGGTACCAGAGCCTCTCTGAGAAGAATACAGGACTAGAAGCTCAGCAAGGCAGTGCTGGGCATTTCTCTCCTGTGGGAGTCCTCATAGCAGCCGAAGAACTAGTCTTCTGTGGCCCCTTCAGTGACCACTTAGATGCAGGTGGACAAGGTCACAGTGTTGGGTGCAGGAGCCACTCTGGCTTAGAAGCCCCACGTCCAAAACAGAAATTCCCTATACCAGCCCACGAGCATCGCTTCCAGGGCCCTGCCAGGGACGTGGCTGGTTCCCAGAGTCTCCCCACTCAAGAAGGCTGCAGCGCTGGCCTCCCACCAGGTGTTTATTGTTCCTCCCAGGTCGGGTGCAGGGCACCAGTGGACGTGATTTTTACCCTGAAGAGTGGTGCCTCGTAACCGAACTACACATCCTAACTTTATCAGATTTCCAAGGGGAAAAAGCCTAGAAAGTTAGCCCAAGGTCAGATTTGTCCATAGAGGAGAAGAAGGGGTTTGTTAACCCTTTGCTTACAAGATCTTGGTCCCCTGAAAATTGCTGATTTGTTTCCTGGTCAGCCTCCTCCTCTTCCTCAGTCACCGTGCCTCTGTGCACGTGAACGCCACTTTACCCGCTGCGGAGCCTGACTGGCCGCCTTCCAGAATTGAGCTCATGGGCTTTAGCCTGTGTTCTTATTGAACTAGTTTTCAGGAAAAGTGAATGAGTTTTCCAAAGCCTAACTGGGCGCCTTTCTTCCTAGTAACAATGCGTCAGTTTGACCACCCTCACATTGTGAAGCTGATTGGCGTCATCACGGAGAATCCCGTCTGGATTATCATGGAGCTCTGCACGCTTGGGGAGGTACCACACCCTCCACCCTTCCCTCTCTCTGGGGGGCTGGGCGCCCCCTCTGCCCTTCTCTCTGTCGGGGAGGCTGGGCGCCCGGTGGTCACAGTTACTAGACGGTGGTCTCGTGCTCAGTGACCAGTCAGTCTGCATCAGTGTTTGACATGCTGTGTTTAAGAAAGGGAAGTGTCCACACTTTATCTTGGATCCTCAGGAGAGTTCTGATTTCAGGTGGATACCGTCACGGTTTTGGTTCAGATAACATGGGTGTAATATCTTCATCATTAAATTCCCAAGTAACCCCAACTCAGTGTTGGCAGCAGTCTTTCCCAACCAGCTTTGTCAGAACTGGGAGCACCAGTGCCACGGCCTAAAGAGACAGCCCAGTGAGCTGAGGATAAAAGAAGCTAACTGGAAGGTGGCTGAGTCGAAGTGGAATTTAGGAAAACGTAAACAGCCTAATAATTTGAGGATAAAAAAACCCAAACCGCTGCCATGGAGTCGATTCTGGCTGATAATGACCCTATAGGACAGAGTAGAACTGCTCCATAGGGTTTCCAAGGCTGTAATCTTTACAGAAGCAGATTGCCACATCTTTCTCCCATGGAGTGGCTGGTGGTTTTGAACCACCAACCTTTCTGTTAGAAGCTGCACACTGTCAAGCCACCAGGGCTCTGATTTGAGGGTAAAAGAAGCTAAGTGGAGGGTGGCTAAATTGAAGCTAAATTTAGGAAAATTTAAACAGTTCCTTAACCTTTTTGAGGATTCACTTTACAGTATCTTCTGGAGCAACTGATGTTAATCACAATTTTGTTTTCAAATGTGAGTAAACAGGATAAACAGATCTGTTTGTTTGGCTTCCTCCAGAATATGGAAACCCTAATAGTGCTTTTCCGAAGTGGTCTGGAAAAGATGACAGCAACATCCCCTCCACCTGGAAACTGGTTAGAAATGCAGATTGCTAGGCCCAGCCCTGTGTGCCCACCCGGCCTACAGGTGCTTCTGTGCATTTGCTGAGGTGTGCGCCTCTGCTCACAGCCTACTGTGGGGCCCTGGGTGTTAACAAATGAGGCAGCTTTCCAGATAGCCACACTTCCTGGCACTAACATTTAGCAACTTAACTATTTTAATGAAAAACTCTAAATTATTATACACGTTCCTTCTTTTTTAAAGGCTACCAGACAGTTTTGCTCTTAATGACTAGCTGAAGTTTCCACTTTCCAGGAAAGCAAGAGTAGTTAGGTGCCTTCCCCTCCTCACCAAAGGGGCAGCTCTCCCGCCTTTGACAGCCTACCTGCTGCAGGGCCCACCTGCTGCTCTTCTGCCTGCGCTGCTGGCCAGGTTTGACGATGTAATAGAAGGGACGTGTCTGTCTCTGCCCTGCGTTGCCAGATAAATGGGGCACTTGTGTATATTTTTTGTTCACAGTATTTTTCTGCTTTAGCTTTTAGAGAATATACTAGTTCTTCTGGCTTAAAAAGATAACACTAAATGTTTCTCTCTCATTTAATGATTTTGTAGAATTAGGGTGTTGAAGTCATCTGCCTTTGTTATATTAGCATTTAGCTGAGCAAGGACAAGTAAACGCAGTGAGATAAATACGTGGGCCCATTTAATCCTTCTGCATCTAAAACTTCACTGCGGGAGGGGAAAGGAGGTCCCCCAGCCTCCCTTCTTCGTAGCCTTACCCTCAGCTGTGCCCAGAGATACAGTGCAGTTTGAAGCAGAGGTGAACTGACTAGGGTTGTGTATCAGATTTGTTTACTAGTAGCTAAATGTTTTTATTCTCCAGTTATTACTACTATTTAACAATATTTTATACTATACTTCTGTTTGTTCCCTTGAAGCACATCTTTCTCTATTTTTTCAGATATTTGTGTAAACTATAGTCATAAAGATTATGATTTTACAATAGATTTCAAAAAAAGAATGACAGACGATAATTTCTAAGCTAAAATGTTTCTTTCACTCTTCCCTTATAATTAGCGAGGAATTGGAAGCCTTTCTCCTATTGTTAAAAATACATTTGGAAACGATCAGCATTGTTGCTGAACGTTGCTTTTTTGCTAACAATTTCTGTTCTCTGTTCTGTTTTCTTTTTCATCTTGGTCACCATCCCAAAAGCTGAGGTCATTTTTGCAAGTAAGGAAATACAGTTTGGATCTGGCATCTTTGATCCTGTACGCCTACCAGCTTAGTACAGCTCTTGCATATCTAGAGAGCAAAAGATTTGTACACAGGTAAGATACATTCATAAAGCTGTTAAGTAGGAAACTTGGAAAGCTAACCCCTGAGGTCATCTTGTAGCTAAATAACAAGGTGACTGAAAAAATAATGAGTTATCACCTGTAAGTACTGTGCTCCTTAAAAAAAATCACCTGTATGAGACCAGATGGTCAACAGTTAACAAACATGAGAATGTAAGGGGGCAGGGAAACTAGATTAATGGAAACAGAACAACCAGAACGGAAATAATGAGCATGTTCATGCATTGTGAAGAACGTAACCAAGGTCACTGAACAAGTTGTGTAGAAATTATTGAATGGCAACCGAAACTGCTATGGAAACCTTCACCAAAAACACCAACCCACTGCTGTGAAGTCTATTCCGACTCACAGCGACCCTATAGACAGAGTAGAACTGCCCCATAGGGTTTCCAAGGCTGTAATCTTTATGGAAGCAGACTGCCATATCTTTCTCCTGCGGAGCAGCTGGTGGCTTCAAACCGCTGACCTTTTGGTTAGCAACCGAGCACTTAACCACTGCGCCCCCAGGTTTCTTCATTGAAAACATAATAAAATGTTTTAAAAAAAGAAAGAAACTGCCTAAGTGGTTGCCTTTGGAGCAGGGGAAGCGGGTGGTGGAAAAGCAGAGAGGGAAGAGGTACTGTGCACTGCAGTCCCTTTGGCACCACTGGAATCTGCTGTGCAGAGTGAAGTACTGCTGCACGGGGTGCAGGTACTTAAAGGGGCTTTCCACACGTGGCATTTGTACATTGTGTGCTGGTTTGGGGTCCTTTATTCATTCAGCAATACTGTTGAGAGCCTGTCCCTGATACTAGAGCCGTGAGCAGGCGGACACGGTTCCTGAAACCACGTTGCCCGAGGGCTTCTCTGCTTACCAGTGTCATGAGTGACATCTGCGGCATTTCTGTTTGCAGTGTGAATGCTAGCGAAAGCCCTTACGATTTGTTTGCCAGATACTGCATTAGAGATTTATTCTTCTTGACGATTTTCCAGCACTAAAAGGGGCTGCGCCAACAAAGTCACTTAGAAGTATTATGAAGATAACTTTTCCTTTATTTAATGAGATCCCTTTAGAAACATCAGTTGTGTCTCAGTATCATTTAATGCAGTTGGTAGTGTAATTTTATGAAAAGTAAGAAATGTCTTCATTATTTAAGAATATACTTGCCCCCAGTGAAAATAATAATAATCGTGTTAACGAGTAAATTCGTGGCAAAGGGAATATATTTGCAATAAAAAAGAATGTTTTTGAATCTGTAATAAATCTTCTGTTTGCATTGTATAGAAGCCCTCTTTTAAAGTAATTATCTTAGTATAATATAGATGAATTTGTTTTTTGTGTAAAAATTTATTGCCCTAAATTCTTATTTGTCAGGGACATTGCTGCTCGGAATGTTCTGGTGTCCTCAACTGATTGTGTAAAATTAGGAGACTTTGGATTATCCCGATATATGGAAGACAGTACTTACTACAAAGGTAAGAAATCAGAGCAGTAAATGAGAACAGGCTCAGAATCTGTACTGTAGTTTTCTTCCAAAAGAGATATGTTCTGATATGCCTAATTGATTGTTGACAAAGGTGCAAAAAATCAGTTCAGTGAAGGAGGGATAACCTTTTCAACAAATGGTGCTGGAGCAACTGGACATCCATAGGCCAAAAAAACCCCACGACTTATCCTCACACTTTATACAAAAATAAGCTCAGAATGGATCACAGGCCTCTTTGAACCTGGCACTCTCTCCTAGGCCTTTGCGTCCAGCTCCCCCAGCCGCCTCCTTCCATCCATGAGTCCTCTCCCCACAGCCTTCTCTGCTGCAGGCTGTCGGTCACTGAGTCCTCTCCACCCCATGGCATGCCTTAGACATGGCTGTAGGACCCTACGTCAGTGGAAGTATGCTTCTGTTCTGCCTGTTAGAGTGAGGGTCCCTGAGGAAAGGGGCTCTGGCTTCTTCATCTGGTGACTCGGAGGCTGAAGGAGAGTTTGGTGGGTGTGGGCTGTTTCCCTTTGTGGCACATTATTCTTTAGACCTCTAAAGAGGATGATTTTAGCCTTTCCTAAAAAAGTAGACTTTTCCATTCTGTCACCTCCTCCCAATGAAGGCATATTATTAGCAGGCCATTTGTAAAGCAAGGGTTCCGACCTACAGACGAAAGTCTGTTTTCTTGATTGTGGAGCTTTCCGTGACAGAGCTACACAGTGCAGCCCCTGGCTGACTGGGCCTGCTCTCACCTCCCACTGCCGTCCTCTGGACAGACAGATGGACGCCAGTGCTTCACTTCCCTCCCCAGTCTGATCCCCCCCCACAGCGACCTCAGATGGCCAGGAAATGAAAAGGCTTCTCCCAAGAAACGCAAGATCCAAGGCATCAGATATTAAAGCTGCTCATTTTGATACTGAAAATCTCTAGCTGTAAGTGTTATGTCCTTAGGGAGATGACAGGGAAATCTTACTTTCTAAAATTTGCCTTCTAGCTTCCAAAGGAAAATTGCCTATTAAGTGGATGGCTCCAGAGTCCATCAATTTTCGACGTTTTACCTCAGCTAGTGACGTGTGGATGTTTGGTGAGTGTTTTGAAAGTTTTTGGTTTTTTTTTTAAACTATATTTTAGAAATTCTGCAAAATAAACTTGTATGTAGGTGGATTTGCCTCCCCTTTCCTGGCCACCTTCTTCGTCAAGCTTCCTCTTTGGTTCGTTCGACAAGTACTGGTGGTTCTGGAGCAGGGTTGTCCTGTTCCTTCCATCCCTCTCCTTTCTGTTCCCCTTTGCTCTTCTTCCCTCACCAGGGTGATACCTTGTCTGTTTTCTTCTTTCTCTCTTCCCCTTGGCCGTCTCATTCACACCTGGTATGTGACTGACTAAACGCTCACCTCGAGCCAGCGCTTGAGATGCTGGGCTTCAGCGTTTCACTGAGCGTTTCCATCGGGTCTAGGGCAGGCCTCCCATCCATTGCATCTCGGCTTGCGCTCAGCGCCTTCGTGCTGGGCTTGACCTCCTTCCTGTCCATCTCAGGACTGACCTGAAGGCGGGGAAGTTGATCCTTTCTTCTCTGTAGTTTCTGTTCTTTGAGGCCTGTTCTGTCCTTTCCTGCAAGGTAGGCCTCCCCTTCCTACTCCTCCTTCTAATTCTTCTTCTGTTTTGTTCTCCTGTAGAGTGTTGCAATGCCCCCCCACCGGTGTGAGATTGTGGTTCTAATCATTGCATACTAATTAAACTACTTTATCCAGAATAGTTGTGTGGAATCCACTCCCGACCCCTCAGCCCACGTTTTCTGATTTATTCCTTCTGCCTGGAATGCCTTACCTGACGTCCCTCTCCACCTGCTGAAATCCTGTCCAACCTTCAAGGTCCCCCTTGAATGTCCCCTCTTCCATGAAGCCTAATGTAATGGCGTCTCCATCAGACAGCAACTCCCTTCCTGTCCTCCGTCCACGCTTCTCTCTGTCCTAACACACGGTGAGCGTGTGCAGTAGCCTTGTGAGCACACACACTCTCTGTGGACTGTAAACCTCGTCAGAGGAGAGGCCCTGTTAGGTTACCTTCTTTCTTTTTCCTATAAACAAAAGTCACTTTGTATATATACTTAATCAAGTAGGTATTCTGAGTTTTTTCTCTGCTCCCTTGCTGGTTTTTAATAACCGTCTAGTACCCTCAATTGATACTAGTGAGGCGCGCTAACTTCGAGTAGAACCAGAAATAGTGAGACACGCTTAGAAAAGGTTCCAGAGTCGAGGGGATGTGGGTTCAAATCCCAAGACCTCCACATTACTGTCTAGCTTTTAGAGCAAGTCACTAGCCCTCTCAAGAAAATTGCATCTTTCAGAGACTCAAAGATGCCTATTTGTTTTCACATTTTAACATCTCTGGATCTGGGATGTGTCTTAAAATCTGTGGCATTGTATAATCGCTGTTAGCTGGGTACAAATTTTTTTTAATGTAGCTTTCCTTGCCTACACGCACGTGAACCTTGTCAGTTTTGTTCATGCTGTTAGTTGTTTCAGGTCTCAGAGAATTCAAAAGCGCTTTTATAGTGAGAATAAGATAATTCTAAGAGGTGAGGAAGAGTTGTGTCATGGTTTAGTTGGCAGCATTTTTCCCCTTTTCTTCATCACATAGAATAAAGATGTGTCTTAGAATCAGTGGAAGGAGCACCGGTGGCACAGTGGTTAAGTACTCAGCTACGAACTGAAAGGTCAGCTGTTTGCACCCACCCAGCAGCTCCATGGAAGAAAAGACAATGTCTGGTTAAGGATAATATACGTAAATTGCAAAGAAGCAGGCCAGAGACGTAGTAAGCTCCCAAGAAACTGTACCCAGTGTTTCAGTGTTACCACTGCTAATGCTGTGATTTCTGGTGAGAAAAGCAGAACTAAGCCATTATTTTTATCGAAGGCTCTTTACTTTGAAAGATTGGCGTTTTAGCTAATTTCAGGATGTCATTCACACTGCTGTGGTAATTAGGTAGGTACCATTCTAGGTACTGTTGATGCAGAGATAAAGACATGGTTCCTTTCCTCAGGGGACCAGTTGTCCAGTGCAAGTTCTGTAATGGGAGTAGATCTGAGAGGACGGGAACTTTTCTTAGCGGACAATCTAGAAAAGCTTGGTAGGGGAACTTACATTACAAATGTACCTAAAAAGAAGAGCGTTTGCAAAGAAGAGAAAAAAGGGCATTCATGATGAAGAATTCAGCGTTAGCAGAGGCATGTTTGTGGCTTGTTGTGTGGGGGCAGGAGGTCCAGGGCGCCCACCGTGCAGAGTGAGGACGGTGAGATACTAGGAGGCAGCCAGCATCCCTGTCTCCTGCTTTGTTTCCCTGCATGGTTGTCTTCTCCATCTTGGTGCTTTTGTTTGTTTGTTTTAAAGGTGAATTCTTAAGTATTGTTCAGAAGTTACTGAGAAAGCATTTGATTGCCCCAGGGAAGAGCGCAAACCAGGGTTGTGAGGTCGTGCACACGCTGTGGAGTTTGCGGGCGAGATCCTGGGACCCAGGGGAGTCCAGAGATCTTCTCTGGGGAAGACAGTAACTGGCTAGTAGATAACCCGGGTGATAATGCCGCTCTGCACCCCAGGCAAGGCCCGACCAGCCTCGTTAAGGGAGATTTTTTAAAGGAATAAGTGGGTCGGCAATGGACGAAAGCGGGGAAAACATCTTTTAAAATTCATTCAGCTTTTTCTCCTAGTTCATTGAAATACCATGAAATCCCACTGTGGCTGATAGGCCATTTTCTAATACAGGATTTTCAGGGAAATCAGCCTTTTAGAAAAATTGTGGCTTTTTCCTTGGTGATAATTCACCATTTCACTGTTTGTGTCATGTCCGTGTCGCTGTTCTGGTTTTGTAAGAGATCATTGAAAACCACTCAGCTCAGATGGTTTGCCCAGATCCCACTGCGGCTACTCTAGGGCCAACTGAGAAGTTACTCCTGAGACTTGGGAATCCCAACCTTCATGCTAAATTCACTGTTATTTTTTCATTCCCACTTCGCAGGTGTGTGTATGTGGGAGATTTTGATGCATGGTGTGAAGCCTTTTCAAGGAGTGAAGAACAATGATGTGATCGGTCGGATTGAAAATGGGGAGAGATTACCAATGCCTCCAAATTGTCCTCCTACCCTCTACAGCCTTATGACGAAGTGCTGGGCCTATGACCCCAGCAGGCGGCCCAGGTTTACTGAACTTAAAGCACAGCTCAGGTAGGAGCAAGGGTGGAGAGGCCTGGAGGGGGGCAGGTGCGGCTGCTTCTCCTCCTCTGCAGTGGTAGCATCTTCAGATTATTTCATCCCTACGTCTGAGGCTGAGGGTGTTCTTGTGCAAACGTTCGTGTTTAAATTGATGTACATTTCTTTATACCTTGCCGGCGTACGGCTTAAAATCTTTAAAGTTCAGGTTATGCTCAGGTCTCTCTCCCCGAGCTCTGACTGACTCAGCGTGGCTTATGAGGCCCGTTTCACACGCTCTTTCCTCTCCCAGTACTCTTGGCTCCCGTGATACCTAACTGCTTCCACTTCTCCTGTTAAACGTCCACATGCTCTTTCCTCTCCGGGAAGTGCCTTTCCCCACCTCTGTCGCCTGATAAACTCCCACTCAGTCTTGAGAATCCGGCTCAGATGTTGCCTCCTCAGGAAACCTTCCTGATCAGCCCCACCCTCAAAGGGACAGCCACTCCTTTGGCACCTTCTGAATACTTCTCTTGTTAGATTTAAAGCCCCACATCGCTTGTCCCCCTGCCGCTGGGGGGCCCTACTGTGTGCCAGGCACTGCGAGGACCCGGCCCCTGGGGGAGCACAGAGGGCTGTGTGGTGTGTGAGCCGCTCCGAGGGCAGGTCTGTGCAGAGGCCGCCTTGCTCCCTGGCCACAAGAGTGTCCTCTCTGCCGTCTGGTCCCTGCTGGACATGACCCTCTGGAAGGGCGCCAGCTGCACTCACTCGTTTCTGTTCCTCCAGTGCGGGGCTCAGCACCTGGCACCCTGTAAGTGTTCAACAAACGTTTGTTGAATTGGGTTACATTCTACATTGAGACTTAGTGCTTTAACAAAAGATACTTCAGTATGATACGCCAGCATGGATGGGAGCGTAGTTACAGACCACCGCCAGGGTTTGCTGTGTTCTCTGTCGCCTGGTTTCACGTTTGGGGAGCCACCGTAACTCTGTGTGAGGTTTTTTTTCACTCGCTGAATTCTAGTCTTATTCTCCCCCCATTAAAAATCACCAAACATCAGGGTCCAAAGACCTGAAAGGCCATCTCGCCCAGGCTTCTCACTCAGTGCTGGGACCTTGTACATGTCCTCTCACCACACTTCATCTTTGGGCAACTTGGCCTGGTAGATGCGTTTCCTTATGAGGAGAACGTCTCACGGAAGGAGTACGACCCACGGGTAGATGTATAAGAGATCCTTCTGTGGATTCAACAGAACAGACCCAGAGAGTTTAAGTCCAGCAGGAGAGACAGAGAAGTAGACTCTTATTTGTGATACAGTGTGTTAAACCTGCAGAGGAGGGCAGAGGGTTC